CCAGAAGGAGCCCGGCCGGACACCGCCCTCCCCACGCCCAGGACCCCGGATGGAGCCCCGACAACACCCTCCCCACGCCCAGGACCCCAGAAGGAGCCCAGCCAGACACGGCCCTCCCCGCCCTCCCCACGCCCAGGACCCCGGATGGAGCTCAGGACACGGCCAGGGCTGCCAGGGTGGTGGCGCAGCTGCTCCCCAAGGCGCACACTGGCTGTGGGAGGAGGCAGTGGCACCCAGCCGCCCGGCTCCACCCGCCATCTTTTCCCCACTCCCCGGCCATGCTGGCGCTTGCAGCCCTCACCCAGGCTGTGGTTGGGCCGGCCTCCCAGCACAGCCCTGTGAGCCCGGGTCAGCCCAGGTCGGGGGCCTCACGCTGGGGTGTCCCTCCGGACCTTGACGCCCCTAAGAGTCACAGGCCCTCCATGGCCTGGGAGCACTGTGAGCACTGACCCGGGAGCACTGTCAGCCCTGACCCGGGAGCACTATGTCAGCACTGACCCGGGAGCACTGTGTCAGCCCTGACCCGGGAGCACTGTCAGCCCTGACCCGGGAGCACTGTCAGCCCTGACCCGGGCGCACTGTCAGCACTGCACGCGCTCACGAGCCCTCTGTGAGCCAGGTTCTGGCCGGGGAAGAGGAACGGACGGTTCTGTAGAGCTCCCACCACACGCTGAAGATGGTCTCTGAAGGAGCAACCCCGCGGTACTATGTGTGCGTGGCGTGCCGGCACACAGCCCTGCGACGTCTGTGCACACGCGTGATGAGCTGGGCGTGGAAGGCAGCCAGCGTGGGGCTGGGCCCGGCAGTCTCAGAGGGTCCTGGGCAGCGGCTCGGGAGGCTGCCCGGGGCAGACAAGGTCACCGAGCCTGTCTCAGCTTCTGGAAAGTTCCTCTGCCTCCCACACTCCAGCTCTGCTTCCATCACCTGGAAATCCCCAGAAAGCGTGTGAGACACACGGGCCGCCCCGAGCGCAGGCCCCGGGGAGGAGAGATTGTGTTTAGTCCCCGCTTACTGGGGTGGGGACCTCCCTGGCCTGGCCCAGAGAGCCGCGGGCTTCCCGCTCTCCCCGCGTCTCCTCCGGCCTGGCCGCGGGCAGCAGGGCCCTCCTCACACGCCAGGGTCGGGGCCCGAGCGGCTCCGGCTCCGGCTCCGAGGCGGTCCCGGCAGGGGAGGCA